TTAATTCTTTTTTCTTTTTAACGGAGTATTATGGGGTAATAGATATTAGATGAATTTGTGTGGAAGTATAAAACCTTAAGGTCACTAGTGAAGTTTTTCACCATTACAAATTTACAAGCAAGACAAATTGATAGGATACACTAAAATACATATAGTTTTATAGTAATTTATTTATTGAAAAAATCTAATATTATGAAGGTCTATTTGGGGTTAGCACTCTCTTTCATGCTTTTGGGTTTTGGCACTAGTGGTAAGGATAATTTTTTTTTCTTTTTGAATACTAATGACGGTTAAAATACACTCATGTTAGGGTTTGAACAAGTGAATCTATGAACTCATATTTAAAGGAAACAGTCGTTCTATGTTTGAAACATATGAGTCCTGACTATGTATATCGGACCCCCTCCCCTCTCTTATCCCGTAATGGGTGGGACTGTGTGGGAGCGATCTCTTGAGACATTTGATAATGTTTTTATTATTGTTCATAATCATGTTGTTCGACCATAAAGTTACGCACTTCTTATTTTTCAAATCAGGGTGCGGTTAACAATAGAATTACTCTTCACCTGAGAAAAAGGAATAATACATTTTTTGTCCATCGTGATACGAATTTACCTTGTCACATTGTGTTTTTAGTAGCAGCAAATTTTAACTTATTTACTAAACTAGCATTGTGTTTCTCGAGTTTTTCTAACTTTTTTAAATTTTCCAAGTCCTTAATTAGATCTTACATCTAACATAGAAGATGCATCCTCGTTTCTCTCATTATAATATCACTCTCATTTGATCCAAAAAACTATTTCATCTTTGTTATTGTATTTTTTCAAATAGGTTAAATATAATTTTTTTAGCCTCTACAAATTAGGTGACTTTTATTTTTAGTCTTTGTAGTTTTTTTAAATCAACTTACAAATTTTTTTGTTTTGAAAATGGTCCTAGAACATAACTTATGAATCTAATTAGTCAAGGAACCCATTTATTTCATTTCAACACCTTAGACTTGCATTATATTCCTAAATACTCCAACCTAATTTCTATGCCCTGAATTGTGTGGTTATATTCATATTACATCTTCAACTCTTAAATTTCCTAGAAATTTAATATTTCCTATCTAAAATTAAGTTATCTGTTCACTATTCAAGGAATCAATCTTCATTTCATTTTTTTTATCATTTTCATTACTGATTTGATAAAATAATATAGTAATGTCACTTCTAATTTTGTAAAATTTTAAATGTGTATATTCTAAATATATGTATTTTGTTTTCTTAATTTTACCCCAATTTTTAAATAAATTATCTTAAAAATAATTTCAGACAAATATTATAAACTAAAATTTGACCTTTCAAGATGTAATTCGATGAAAAATACAATTTAGGGCATCAGAAGACTTAACTACGTTCAAGCATCATTTATAAAATAAAAAAAAATGTAAGAATGATTTAAACAAAAAATATTTACAAGGACTAAAATAAAAAAAATTACATATTTTATAAGAACTAAAAACATATTTAATTCTTTTCAGATGATACAATCATGGAGTCATCTCCCCCTCCATCTCAAACTTGTACCGGGTGAAGGTTCCCATGGAGGGATGTGATGTGATAATACAGCTTGCGAGAATTGGTGCACAGTACTGAATCACTGTTACGCCTGGGAATGCACCGACATAAATGAATGTTGTTGTAGTTGCGAGCAACTTAACTCTCAAGCATTTTTGTCAAAGTTTTCTTAATATCATGCCACATATGCATCAAACTGAAGATCTTAATTATTATCATAATGAAATAAATGCTCGTTTGGTTAATAATTAGTATGTGATTGTTAGTAATGAAAACTATGCATTTATGTTTTCTTTATCAAAGTTTAAATGTGAAAAGAAATATTCAAGTCAAATTTCATCAATTTTGGATTTATTGAATAATTGGCTGAAAAAACATAAAAGCATTCCTTAGAACTCGAAGACAACATATAGAAAAGAAATTACTCAAAATAGAAGTAAACATTGGAGTGAAACTTCAAAATAAAAGTTAGAGAGCGTCTAAAATGACACCAGTTATTTATACACCAGTTCGTTTGGGGTACCTACGGTGCTCCGTTTGTAAAAACGACGGTTCCTACCCCCCCTAACCCTCCCCCTAAACCTCCAACCCCAGCCCCACCCTTGCCTCCCCCAGCCCAGCCCCCCCTCCCGCCCCCCTCCCTACCCTGGCATTACGAAGCAATGCTAGAAGAATCAGTATACGAAGAACGTGAAGAATGACTTTATAGATTTAACGAATCATGTACGACACTCTCATAGTCTCATATTAAAGTTCTTTTGAATAATGTGAATTCGAATCATCATTTTCCAATATAAATCATGAATTGAAATTAAAGTATTTGATTTGTTAACATCCCTAAATTGGATAGCGTACGCTACAATGATAGATAGGCTTACTGTTAACTATTTATGGGAAGAATCTAATACTCTGTATTATGAAGGTTTATTTGATCTTAG